CCCCCGTCCGGCCCCCGCCTCCCCACCCCACCCCCGGGGCTAGGGGCTGCAGTCTCAGCCCCCCCGGACCAATGCAAACGAAGCGCCGAGCCAGCAAACCAGGTCCCACTGCCCCTCCCTCCCCGCCGAAAGTGGCTGTGCGCGGACCGGTGGGGGAAGGGGGACTGAGGGGTAATGATCTGGGCCCCCAGCCCTAGCTTTCGATGTGCACCAGTAAGGGAAACGGGCTTCGGCTACCCTTCAGAGCCCACCTTTGATGCGCGAAATGCCCAGAAGTCGCCTTCCCGCTCCCAACCCTAAAGAGAGCCCGGGGTCCTGGCAGGGGGCAGGCCGAACCTCCCGAGCCGCTTCTGCACCCCGCGCACCGACCGATCCGAAGGGGCTGAGCGTCCGGGGGCTGGGAGAAGGGGCCATCGTCCAGCCTCTCCCCCAAATCCCACGCCGAGCCTTGTGCCCGGGGAGCGGAGAGTCAACAGCTCAGGGAGGCAGCAACATAGACGCCAGGGCGATGGACAGGAGCAGGGATCCGCGCGCCCCAGCACTGTCCCCTGGAAAGTGAGGGTACTGGAGGGTCTGGGGCGCTCCCTTCGGCCTCATAGGCCGGAGCATCCCCAGCGCCCCCGGAGCGCTCGGGCCATAGGCCCCGCGGGCAGGCCAGGGCGCTTTGTCCCCGGTTGGCCCGAGGAGGATGCCGCACGCGGGTTGGACACCGAGGTTTGCTGCCGGAGAAACGCGACCGCCGTGGGGCCGCCCGGCTTGGAGCTCTGAGCTGCAGGCACCGCGTGTGCGGACGGGAAGTTCCCACAGTTGCAAAGAAGGAGCGAAGTGTGTGTTCCAAACTTTCCACGGTTCCAAACTCCAAACTGAGCGCTTCCATTAAGAGAAGCGGAGAGGGGCGGGCGGGGGAGGAGGAGGGGAGGGGAAGCATTCTGGGGATTAGCATGCAAATGAGCGGGCCCGGCTTCCAGCTCCACTCGGGATTCCAACCGCCGCCAGCCTGCCCTGCGCCAAGCCACGCGCGCCTTGGGGGCTTCCACGAGTGGCGCCGCGGGAGGACCCGAGTTCGAATTCGAGACTCCGCTCTCCGGTTAGGTGGCCTGGCGCCGGTCAGATGGCCTCTCGGAGCCGCTCGGTTAAACAGTTTTGCTAATGTGTACACCGGCGATGGCAGCACCTGTCTCAGGAAGTGAGGATTCGAGGGTCTTTGCACCGCACCTAATTCTGGGCGGGATGAATTAGGACCTTCCTAGGGCGTAGTTGGTGCTAAAAGGCTGTTGGAGAGAAAAAAAAATGAAACTTAGAAACTTGAGGAAAATTCCTGGACCCGGAGCCAGACTCTTTGGGTTTGTTCTAAGCCAAAACGTGCTGTGTCACCTCAGGCTAGTGCCTTAACCTCCCTGAGCCAGAGCTCGGAGATTCTTGGGTGGGTTCTGGAACCGGCAGTTTTTTTGTGTTCCAGAGTGCTGCTGGGAGCAGCCACAGAAAAAGATGAAAGGGATTTCATTACTGAGTGCCTATTGCTCTGCGCACATCCTCTCTCTCAGCTGGACATGGCTCTTTCCGTTCTACCGCTAAAGAAACGGAAATGAGTGACTTGCCCAAGACCAGACAGTAATCCAGCGGGTTAACCTGAGCATGCCCCTGCCTTACCAGTGGCTTCTGAGCCTTACTGGCGCCTGGAAGGAAGAATAGCTCTCCATCTGCTGTGCTTAGAAAAGGGTGCCAGCCCCGGCCAGTGTGGCCCAGTTGGTTAGGCGTCCCTCCTGCACACCAGAAGGTTGGTTCATTCCTGGTCAGGGCACTTGCATCAGCCCCATTTTGCAGATAGGAGGCCTGAGGCTGAGGGAATTTGAACGATCTAGGATGCCACCATGGCGATGCAGCCAGAGACAAATCCACACTCCAGTTCTGCAAATTCATATTCCACTGCATGTCACCTTGGCAGCATAATTGTACAGGAGGACTGTAATGATCTCTCAACTTCATCCATGAGTTGACCTTCAGTCTTGCCCATCTCTTAGGCTCCCAGAATTCCATTCTATAACTTCAGGCTTCAGGGCATTCTTAAAGGACATTTTTTTTTGTAATTGAAGTGAAATTTACATAAAATGTAACCATTTTAGGGTGTAATTCAGTAGCACATATTACATTCACAATATGGTGCAAGCAATACCTCTATCAAGTTCCACAACATTTTTGTTAACCCAAACGAAAAGAAAAAATTGCGTACTCATTAGGCAGTCACTCCCCAATCCTCCCTCCAGCCCCTGCAACCACCAGTCTGCATTCTGTCTCTAAGGGTTTATCTGCTCTAGATATTTAATATAAATGGAATCATGCAATATTTGAGCTTTTTTGAGTCTGGCTTCTTTTACTTCGTATAATTTGTTTGAGGTATCAGTACTTCATTTCTTTATAAGGCTGAATTCTATTGTATGGGTACCACCTTTTCTTTATTCATCCATTCATGGCCTTTTGGCTATTGTGAATAGTCCTGCTATGAATATTCGAGTACAAGTATTGGTTTACCTGTTTTCAATTCTCTGGGGTATATACCTACAAGTGGAATTGCTGGGTTGTATGATAATGCTAGGTTTAACTTTTTGAGAAGTCATCAAACTGTTGAAAACAGCAGCTGACCATTTTATATTCCTACCACACAGATCTTTGTATAAGTAACTTTAGAGCTTGTTAAACCTCCCATTTTATGAATGAACATGCTGTGGCCCAGAGAGATTAAGTAACTTGTCTAAGGTCACACAGCAGGGTCCAGACTAGAACCCAACTTTCCTGAGTTTCTGGCTTTCCATCTACTAAGAGCCTTTCACCCTCCATCAACGATCCAACTACCTGCCTGAGTTGACACACCTGACCAGTGATCAACTGAGTTAACCGTATTTATGAAGTTCCTTTTTCCCTCGACACCTGTTGAAAAAGTCCACCACAGTGTTCTCCATGTCCAGGCTGCACCTTAAAAAGAGGCAGAGCTCACAATCCCTGTGTCTGTCTTCTGCTGCCAGGCTGGCCCTCTTCTGTTGTCATGGAAACCACGCACCTCCGTTTTGGCAGTGTACCAGCTGGATAACATCCTTGTCTCCCAGGCTAAGAGGAGCTGTCAAGGTTATTCAGTCGCTAGATCCATATTTATTGAGCACATACTAGGCAACAGGTTTTTTTTTTGAGGTTTTTGTTTTGTTTTAGTTGTTAGCAATACAGCAGTGAACAAGCTAGGCCATGGTCCATACCCTCAAGGAGTCCACAGTCTAGGGAAGGAGACAGACAAAAAAAAAAACCCAAAAAACAGAGGCCCGGCTGGTGTGGCTCAGTGGTTGAGTGTCTCGGTTCGATCCCCAATCAGGCCATATGCCCAGGTTGCAGGCTTGATCCCCATTGTGGTGCGTGCAGGAGGAAGCCAATCAATGATTCTCTCTCATCATTGACGTTTCTATCTCTCTCCCTCTCCCTTCCTCTCTGAAATCAAGAAAAATATTTTTAAAAATAGACATATATTTTAAAAATAAATAAAATTACAAAAAAAAACCCCAAATAAATAAAAAGGCTTCCCCTGGCTCTGCTCCCCAGTTCTTCAAAGTCTGCCATCGCCGAAGGCCCCACTCACA